CAATGTGAACAGTGGAGCCACACAGAATTGTTAGAGTGACCATAGAGAGGAGGCGCTACTGGTGGTAATTGGAGGTGGGGATGTGGGCCAGAGGCACTGGTGAAGTATCATCCTGCCTCTGGGGAATAACTGAAATCAAACATGCCTTTCATTATTTTACTTGGATAGGACCAAAGTAAAGATTCTTACTTCATTCAGCATTGGACTTAACAGTTGTAGAATTTTGCCCTTTTTCTGGCACCCTGTTTGAAGAAGAAACTTTCCTCTTTGACACCAAGAATTCCTCCCCTGAATTTCAGATTATCCTACACTCACCTTGCCATTGCTCTTTTTACCTGTTACCTGGAGGGTTTATGAGTTCTGTGCCCCTGGAAATCTTACCCTTCTCCCTCTTCTGTTTCTGTTTGACCTTTTTGATTTGCCTGAATCAGACCACTAGCAGGATATTAAGGCTACTTCTTTACTTGGGTAAAGCTCAGCTTACATCTTTTCTTTTTCTTTTTTTCCATCTAGTATCAGATTTTTGACTCAGTATCAGGTGTGTAGCCTCACTGGTAAACATCTTCTTTCGGGTCTGTATATCTGCACCAGAAATAGGCTCCACATCTCTTAAAGGCTTGTTGGTTGAAAACCATGATCTTCTCTTTTTTTTTTTTTTTTTTTTGAGACGGAGTCTTGGTCCAGGCTGGAGTACAGTGGCGTGATCTCGACTCACAGCAACCTCCACATCCCGGGCTCAAGTGATTCTCTTGCCTCAGCCTCCCGAGTAACTGGGATTATAGGCACATGACACCACACCTGGTTAATTTTTATATTTTTAGTAGTGACGGGGTTTCGCCATGTTGGTCAGGATGGTCTCGAAGTCCTGATCTCAAGTGATCCACCGGCTCAAAGTGCTGGGATTACAGGCGTGAGCCACCGCACCTGGCCTCTTATTCTGCTTGAAGCATGCCTCTTTTGATTATTATTATTTTTTTTTTGAGGTGGAGTCTTGCTCTGTCATCCAGGCTGGAGTGCAATGGTATGATCTCAGCTCACT